TAGCTTCCTGTCTCTTTCCCAATCCTAACTAGGAATATTCTTTCTGGACAGGAAGTGAGGTGGAGCTAGGCCTAGCAAAGCCTATAATCCTTCCAGTGTAGGCCTTTCCTCCCAGTTAAGCCGTGTTTAGATATCTGTAAGGTGTCTGTAAGTCAGGTAGAACTCCCAGAACGCTGAATTATGGGAATCTGTAGTCCTCCAATTTTTTTTAAAAAAAATCTCATCCTGTAAGGTGTCTGTAAGTCAGGTAGAACTCTCAGAATGTTGAATTATGGGAATCTGTAATCCTCCAATTAAAAAAAAATCTCATCCCTAATGTTTTTTTCTTTCATTCATTCATTCATTCATTCATTCATTCATTCATTCATTCATTCTTTGATTTCTACCCCGCCCCTCTAGAAATAATCTCTCCTTTCCTTCTCCGACCAATTAACCAATTAGCTGCTGCAACCTAGGCCACAATTATTTTGCTTTAGTGCAGTAGATCCTCAGCAATACAGGCTCAATGAGAGAACTGTTTTAAATATTTTGGTTTTGGAGCTCTGCCTTCATAAAACCTCAGACGATGAGATCAGAGAAAGGACATTCTGAATAGGGAGGAAACTTGGAGAGTATCTGAACATTAGCAGGCTGGGGGAGGGATACAACCACTGAAGCCAGGATACATCCCCTTAATTGCTTATACAGTACCAGAGGTTAGCATGCATCTCAATAACTACGCTGTTAAATATACTAACATGCAAAACAGAGGCTAAAATCCAATAGGAAGTTGTAACTCTTGTAGGCCCACTGAATAGGTCTACTCTAGTGATGACTTATTGGAGTTTAGCCATTGGATAATGAAGATATATATATATATAAAACACCCATAGACAATCCATCATTTCTTCTTTTTTTCTACATTTGAAGGCTCAAGCACCTGCTTCTGAAATCAACGTTCTGATGACCCCAAATTCTAATTTTAAAGCAGTGCCACTTTAATCACATCTATGTCACTTTATGCGCGATCAGCCTCCAGATTAAGCAAAACATGCCACCCAATAAATTCTCCCTCTCAGACTACTGCAAACTTTCATTACAGCACATGAAAGAACCCCATAGGGATTTATGTTTAGCTGTTTATGAATAACTGTAAAATTGAAGATTTCTTGGCAGGAGCTGGCAATTTTCCTGCAGAAAGATTCGGGGTAACATAATCAGGTTTTATTCACTAGTTTGATTTAAATCTACCCGCCAATGGGCTCTCATTTGTACATTTAATGGGATTGTTTATAAGGCCCCCCAAAGCTTCAGAGAATGTTAGGTGATGCCACTCAATTGCCAAAGATGCTGTCTGTAAAGTATCTGCCCTTCATAAGAACTAGAAACAACGATGAAAGTTATTGTGGCTGAAATCCAATAACTAGAGCAGAGCCATTGAAACAGTAAGGATCTGTTGAGTCGACTCCTCTATAGGTTCTATTGATTCACTGGGCCTACTATACAGTGGTGCCTTGCAAGACGGGCGCCCCGCTTAATGACAAAAACCGCATTACGATGATCTTTTTGTGATCGCAAAATGATGGTCTGAATGGGTTTTTTTCACTTTACGATTATCGGTTCCCTGCTTCAGGAACTGATTCTTCGCAAAACAACGATTTTTAAACAGCTGATCAGCTGTTGCAAAATGGCTGCCAGGTAAAAAAAATGGCTCCCCGCTGTTTTCTGGGACGGATTCCTCGCTGCACAGGCAGCAAAAAAAGCTTCAGAGAATGTTAGGTGATGCCACTCAATTGCCAAAGATGCTGTCTGTAAAGTATCTGCCCTTCATAAGAACTAGAAACAACGATGAAAGTTATTGTGGCTGAAATCCAGTAACTAGAGCAGATCTATTGAATCAGTAAGGATCTGTTGAGTTGACTCCTCTATAGGATCTATTGATTCACTGGGCCTACTATAATTGCATGGTACCCAATATGGTGTAAGTGATTTCGCATTACGATGTTTTCGTTCTACAGCGATTTTGCTGGAACGAATTAATGTCGCAATGCGAGGCACCACTGTAATTGCATGGTACCCAGTATGCTGTAAGTGCAGTGTTTTCCAGATGTTCTTGGACTACAACATCGAGAAATCCTGGCCAGCACAGCTCGTGGTGAAGGCTCCTGGGAGTTCCGTGCATTAATTGGGTTTTAATGCGTTTCTATGGGCTTTTTAATTTCGCATTACGATGTTTTCGTTCTACAGCGATTTTGCTGGAACGAATTAATGTCGCAATGCGAGGCACCACTGTAATTGCATGGTACCCAGTATGCTGTAAGTGCAGTGTTTTCCAGATGTTCTTGGACTATAACTTCCGGAAATCCTGGGCAGCACAGCTAGAGGTGAAGGCTCCCGGGAGTTCCAGTCCAAGAACATCTGGGAACCAAAGGTTTGTAGTGGTTAGAGTGATGGACTAGGACTCTGGAAACCAGGTTTTAAATCACCACTTAGCCATGGAAGCACATTGAGCTTGTGGAACTGGTAAAAGACCTATTAAGGTCACTATAAGTCAGTTCCAACTTGAGAGCATGTAACTAACTCACTCTAGTTGATTCTTACTGCTGGATTTCCACCAGAGTTAAGGAAATAGAGTCCTGAAGAAGAACAGAAGGAAAGCAAACATCCACTCCAGGGTAACAACACAAACGTCTACTGTCCTCCATGTCTGTTGCAATTTTTCCAACATGCTTCACACCATGTACCGAGTGAAGCTGAGCAGGATAGATGCAAGCTCATTTGCTGTTCTGGGATAAATAAACATTTGCTGTTCTGGGATAAATAAAAAGATGGATGTCTTCTCCACTCTATACACAGAAGCCAGTTGGCTTGACTGTGGATTCGTTCTTCAATAGCCATTGTGGGATATCATCAACCATCACACTAGATACAGTAATCCTGTTGGGCAGGCATGTTCTCTGCATGACTCTGCCCATCCCCAGCAGAAGAGACAGCTGGAGAATGTCTAAAAATGGCTTGGAAGCAGCCAAATCTCTACATCTGCCAACTAAGGTCATCCTCTTGTTCCACCTAACAGTAAGGTCAGCCCTGTTCCCTGATTTGCGAGCACAAGAGAGAGGTCACTGTGGCACTCTCAACCTCATTTATGACTGACTCCAGCATGGAGTGATAACTTTCCTCTAATTCATGAGACCTCGGAGATCAAACACAGACACAGAGAGAACTTTCACACTGCCTCTGATCACCAGCCCACTAGTCTGCATAGCCAGTTGTGAGTCTTTAACGGCTGCTGCTTCATCACATATATTTGGTCCCCCTGTGGCATCAAGATACCATTCGCTTTTGTACGTGAGCCACCACAGATCAACCACCACAGATAGAACATCACATGGCTCCAGACACAAAGAAGATCAGTGGACACAACTAAAGAGCAGGAGGATGTCCACCAACAACCAGTTTCCAGCATGGCTCCAGACAGTCCAAATTCTTCCCCTGACCCACTTTGCTTGCTCATTGCGGCACAACCTCAAAAGACCTCTCCTTGTCATCTTCTATACTGATTTCCCTAATGCCCAACATATTGTCATAACCCTTTTGATGATCCAGGTTGCTGTAGTCAAGTGTTATCAAGGCATTCCAGATGTAGAGCAACGCTTATAGGGTTTTCAAGATACATGAGATGTTCAAGTAGTGGTTTGCTATTGCCATCTCCAGTGAATTTCCATGGCTGAGCAGGAAATTTGAACCCAAAGCTTCTGAGTCTTTTCCTGACACACCATCCCGTATATGTCACACTGACTGATGCAAGACCACGCCCATATTAGAATGACAACTAGACCATGGCATCATACCTCAGCCTCCAGAATCGTCTAAAGCAGTGGTTCCCAACCTTGGGTCCCCAGATATTCTTGGACTAAAACTCCTAGAAGCCTTCTCCACTAGTGTGCTGGACAGGATTTTTGGGAGTTGTAGTCCAAGAATATCTAGTGACCCAAGGTTGGGAACTCCTAGTCTAGAAGAATGCAACCTAAATGGAAGGACCAATAGAATGGTCCACAATTATTTACCTGTCCATTACATCATGTCACTGAGCGCTAATACCATGGAGCCATCAACCTCCTACAGTTACTCCTTTTATTCTGGTGTCAATCATGAAAAGTGTATGGATGAAATGAAGTATCTGTGCACAATCAGTCCATCTATTTAACTGTCAGTCATCAAAGGTGTATGGATGAAATAACATATTGGTACTCAGTTGGTCCACCTACTTAGGTGCCAATCATTGGAGGTACTGTATACTGATGAAATGAAATATTTACATGCCTGAGTTGGTCTTCAATGCATGATAAAATACCATGTGACATGCATGCACGTGTGAACTCAGAATTCCCTATTACAATTGAAGAAGGGAGGGTCAGACATCATATAGCACTAAGCAAACCATCATCCTATGGTACAAGTGGGACTCAAATATAGATATTTGAGGGGCAAACCCATCTCTCTGGCTGTGGTCCCACACTGCCTACAGGTAAATTGGGAGACAGAGCGATCCTGAAACAATTAGCCATTGGAAGGGTTTTATTGTTCTTCAGACTGTGTCTAGAGCCCAAGGCTGTTTGCCTGCCTCTTTTGGGTATTCTTCCAAATCCAGCAACAGACTAAATGTGTGACACACTCCCACTTCATTTGGAGTTAAAAGTTTGGCAAGCCCCAGAGTCACCTCCTTCACTTTCTATTTAATAGGCGCCAGTTTCCAGAAGATACAGGAGTCCGGAAGGTCCCATATTTTCCTATTATTCTCCATCAGTGTTTCCTTCCCTTTAAAGCTATAGGCTGGAGCTGGGAGGCTCTTGAAAATGGCCCTCATCTCTCAAAAAAGAGAGAACCATATATTTCATCCACACCTTGGTGGTCAAACTGTTGCATGACCCAATCAACACAAGTCCACTTTGCTTGGGATGAGATCCCCCCCCCAATACCAAGCATCCTCCTGCCCCACTCAGCCCTCCACGCCCCCTTACCATTGAGTTGGTTATACACAACTTCCTCCAGATGGTCCAGACGTTGAAGGATGGACTCCCTGTCCAGCAGAGTCCCCGCCTTGGGGTTCCGGCTCCGGATCCGTCGGTCGGCGCTCCGGACAATCTGCACCAGCTCCTGCGAACGGTCCTGGATCCGGCAGTAGACCGAGAAGAGGATGATGCCCACAAAGACCAAGATGTTGACGGTCAGCAAAGTTTTGATCTTCCTTGCCACCGCCATGGAAGCCGCTGCCTCGGTGGGGCATCAAGGCATGGCCGCCGGTGCCTTGGGAGCCGACGCAGCATCTAAGGCAGCAGCACCTGCCTGCGGAAGGTGGGGGTGCCGGTGGGGGGAGAAGGAGGAGGAAGAGGAGGTCTCCTCAGCTTCCCACCCCACACCTCCTTTCTCCTTGGGTCGAAAGAAAGAGAGGGAGCGGAGAGCCGGGAAACCCAAGCGCAGGCTGGCGGAGGGAGCTGTCCGTTTCAGCACCACGGCGCTCGCGTCTCTTCTCCAGCCTCCTCTTCTCACCAGCTTCCTGGTAGGACCCGGTCACCTTCTCCTCCCTCTTTCTTTTTCTCTCTTTTTTCCTGGCTTGTTGAGGGGAGAAAGGACCTTCCTTCCTTCCTTCCTTCCTCTTCTTCTCTCTCCCTCTCCCTGTTCTTCCCGGCCCTTGAAGACAAGCTGCAGGGAGAGGACGAGGAAGGGACACAGAGGCAGGGAAAGGACACCGGCCGGCAGGATCAGATCCCGGGCTGCTTCCAACCCACCAGCCTCTCTGGGCGCACCAGGCCAAACCCGGCTTTTGGGCTCCGCAAGGCGGCGGGAGACCGGAGGGAGGTGGCCGGAGAGAGGGAAGGAAGGAAGCAAAGGGGAGACCCAGAGATGGAGAGAGAGAGGGAGAGAGAGGCCGGCCAGAGCGAGGCTGTGCCGGCGCTGGGATCGCCCGCCGCCTCCTTCCCTCCCACCCTCCTTCCTTCCCCCGCTTGGCCGGTCGCGTGTCAGTCTCCGTGTGCGTGTGTGTGTGTGCGCGAGCGGGGGCGCGCGGGCGCGCGCGTGTGTCCGGGCGCTTTCGCAATCGCCTCGGTTTCTCCCCGCTAGCAGAGCGCCGGTGCGAAGTCACGTGCCCGATTGGGTGTACCGGCTGGAAACGGGGAGGGGGGGGGAGAGGAGAGGGAGGGAGGCGGAACCCGGTTGCATTCACACAACCCCGGGCTCAAGAGTGCTCCCCGGGTCTCCCTCCCCCTGGGCCCAGGGGGGGAGGCAGCTGAGCCGGAGCGACTCACCAATTCTAAGCACTACTCCAGGCTCACTGTAAACCATTCTGCCAATGGCAATGCAAACAGTATTCAAAAGGTTGACCTCTAGCTCTCAACAAGGTTTGGTGCCTTGTTGTATCTCTTTAAAGTTCAATGCAAAACCCAGAGTGGATTCACCATACCCTTAGCACTCCCCTCCGCTGGTGTATGTATGTTTGTGTGTCTTGTCCCTTGCCGGAGGAGGAGACTCTCTGACCCCCATATTCAACCCAAAAGTTCGAACACCCGCTAATCTGTTTGCAGATGCTGCTGTGCACATTTCGGTGCTCCTAGCTGTGGGGGAAACACATGGCTTCATTGCCAAATCTCTTTCTCTTGGAAGCCCATCCTTTAATGCTCACAGTCTGACAAGGATGCGAGGCTAATTCGCGACATTGCTTCACCAACAAAAATGTTCCCAGCGTAAACAAGCCCTGCTTCTGTATTCCAAGCACAACATCAGGAATGCAGGATTATTACCTTCCGACCCATGGAGTGCTATCTCCTGATGCTTTTAAACAACAGCAATAATGAGATTTTGTGATTCCATTACAACACACATACACACACAAACACTATTGAGAAGCTTCAAAGATAGATAGATAGATAGATAGATAGATAGATAGATAGATAGATAGATAGATAGATAGATAGATAGATAGATAGATAGATAGATAGATAGATAGATAGATAGATAGATAGATAGATAG